TTTATTCATTTATTTATTTATGTATTAACTAATAATTTTTTTGTAGGATATGTCACCATCAAAGAGGCTAAATGCTATCAGAGTCAGAATTCTACCTAAGGGAACCATCAAGACTGAGGTAAACTGTGAATCACATCATGTATTCAGATCAACTATAATCATAATATTAAAATATCATCATCCACTACTTCATGGGCAGCAGAAGGTGTAAGGGCAGGGGAGCTATGACCCCCCCCCCACTTTTTCCCTTTTTCTCTTATTTTTCTCACCCTTTTCTCCTATATTTTCCAATCTTAGCCCCCTTGCCCCAAACGTTTTAGGTTGCTGYGCGGCCCCTGTACTTATCATCACCATCGCTATTCCACCATCCTTATCATCAACATTATCACCTACACCATCATCCTAATAATCRTAATCAATAATTACCATAATCATTTTCCTCAACATTAGCATCATTATTAGCATGTTGTCATAATTCAGTATTATCATCAGCAGCATCTTCACCATTATTATCATCACTGTCAATTATCATCAATTTTGGTTTCAGGGTTCATGCTACTCCTTAAACTCCTTGAAAACTCCTTGAATTTAATTCACGTTTTCAAGGGCACTTGGAAAACTCTTGAATTTTACGATTTTAGCAAAACTCCTTGAAAACTCTGAAATTAGAATTAGGTTCTGAAATAGATCTAGTCAGAAAGATTGGAAAATCTGAAAGTCGGCCATGTGCAACCACCATGCAAAACCTTGGCATAGTTAGCTGAACATACTCCTTGAAAATTCATTTTTGGTTCCTTGTATACTTCTTGAATAGTCCTTGAATTTTAAGTGGTTACCTCRGCACTAACCCTGTGTAATCAATTACCATAATTATTTTCCTCGACATTAGCATCATTATTAGCATGTTGTCATAATTCAGTATTATCATCAGCATCATCTTCACCATCATTATCATCACTGTCAATTATCATCAATTTTGGTTTTTACTCTAACACAGACTATGTGCTGATTAACTTTTTTGTTTTGTTTAGGCATCTGATGGAGCTAGACACAAAGGCTATGTTGATAGAGAGCCATCCTTTGTTGGAAAAAGCCCCAGAAAACAGGAGAACAACAGGTGAGACTACTGTAAATTAATCTCTAGTAATATATCTCATTTTTGCATTGCTGTCTACTGCCGTTAGCATCATTATCATCACCACCACAACCATCAAAATCATTACCATCATCATCATAATCATCATGGTCTATGTTCTTTCTCTGTTTGCTGCTCCGCTCCTCTGGAACTCTCTACCTTCTTCAATTAGAGATATTTCCAGTTTATCTTTATTTAAATCTAAACTCAAGACTCATTTATTTAAGTTAGCTTTTTCTTTATGATCATATTATCTATCTTATTTATTTATTCCTTTAACGTTATGTTACTAAGCGCTTAGAACAGACTTGTATAAGCTCTATATAAGCCATATGTATTATTATTATGATTATTATTATTGTTATCATGATCACCATCATCATCAACAACATCTCGATCATTATCATAATCATCACCATCATCATCATTATGATCATCACCATCAAATTAACAACATCTCCATCATTATCATCATCACTTATATTGTGGGTTAACATTGTTTGTGTATGTTAAAGGGATAGTGAGTCTGGACTGATAACCTATGAAGTGAACGGCAAGAAGGAGACAGTGTCCTTTGACTGGCAGACTGACCCCAGGAAAACTGCCCAGTTTGGAGACCTTGTAAGTCCTTGTAGTTGTACAGTACAGTATGTCTTCAAAGTGATCACTATGTTCCTTTCCTTGGGGTGGAATCTTGTGGCAGTCATCAATGTCAAATCTCCACAAATTTAGTCCTCTTCCCCCTCAATCCCTACCTTGCCTGGGACTTAACATTGGAAATCCCTTGTGGAAGTATCTGTGAGGCAGATAGTGTGTCAAAAGATAATTTGTCATAATTCAAGCTTTCTAGCTATTTTGCCAGTGACAACATAAATATCAAAATAATGAAAAACATTTTGATGCACCCCCTCCCCCCACAAAAAAAATTGTACCCTTCAAAACCTCCATACCAAAATCTGTTGATGCCCCCCTCCCCTCCCCCCACAAAAAAAACATAAAATTGTACCCCTCAACCTCCATATCAAAATATTTTGATGCCCCCCCCCCGCCACAAAAAAATTTTGAACCCTTCAAAACCTCCAAACCAAAATATTTTGATGCCCCCTCCCCCCCACAAAAATTAAAGCTGTAACCTTCAAAACCTCCATAGCCCTCCACCCCATAAATTGTGAATGCTTCCTTATCATTGCCAAATTCCTTATCAGGTTGAATTCAGTGTAGTCGAGAGCAATAGAACAGGGTATTGCAGAGCTGTGAATATAGAGGTGCTGAAGAAGAACTCGGACATAGTCCATCAGGTGAGACTATCATCAATAATAATAATAATTATACAGCTTCTCATTAATYCCATATAGGTAACTGTCCAATTATTTTCTTAATTGGATAGGTCTTGTTGATATGGGATTAATTAGGCAGCTATATAATTAATAGGTAATGGGATTTCATGCTCCCCAATCAAGAAATAATTAGACTCGGAAAATTCCTCCGACTGCCAAATTGGACTCGGCCTACGGCCTCACCCAATTTTGTCAGTCCTCGGAATTTTCCTCGTCCAATGCATTGAGTCCTATTACATATACTTATTATCAATTATTATTATTAATATTATCAATTATTATTATCATCAATTATTATTATTTATTATTATCAGTCAGTTATTATCATATTGTTATCAGTTATTATTGTTCTGTACTGGATAAAATATCTAGTGAAGACTGAGCAACATGAATGACCTCTTATTTTTGGTGTTTAGGGTTTTGTGGCAACTCTGAAGGAGAACTATGGGTTCTTGGAGACGGCCGATCATGACAAGGAAGTGTTCTTTCACTACAGGTATAGATCTTTCTCATAAATGGTTGCGAAATGCGGTTGGAACCTAGGGACAATTGAATGGAAGCGAGGTCAGGAAGGTCTCATTAATAAACAAAGTCTACTCAGTACGATATTTGGTGTAAAAGTCATTCATCTCACCAATTTGAGTTCTTTTTAGTGTCTCCTGAAGTAAGGGTGAATGACTTTGACACAAAAGATCGTACTGAGTAGACTTTGTTTACTAATGAGGCCTTTCTGACCTTGCTTCCATGCAATTGTCCCTAGTCCCAAACAAGGTTATGTGGCCATTAATGAAAAAGGTGTCAGAATAACTTTACAGTTGTTGTCATTATCATCAACGCAGCTATCATCATCAACAACATTATCATTGTTATCAGTCATCATTATCATCAACAGCGTCCTCACCATTACCATCAACACCACTATGTTCTCTATCACCACTATCATCACAATGATCATCGTAGTGCGTCACGATTGTCAGCATTATTATCATCAACAACGTCTTCATCATCAGTCATCATTATCATGAACAGCATCATCATTGATTTTATGACCACCACTATCTTCACTATCCATAATCCCCACCATCATCATTGTGCATCATTTAATYAATCAACATCATTAATTATCATTATCATCATCATCAACAGCAATAACATCATTATCAGTCATCCTACAAATAGACTGCGACCTAAGTCCTCTATTTCCCTTGGTCACTGTACGTCTGTCTGTCCGTGTCAATTGGTTGAGGAAGATTGGTTACCAGTCAAAAGTCCCTGTGGGAGGGGGCAGGGGAGTAATCTTCCTTGACCAATCGACACAAACAGACAGACGTACAGTGAACAAGGGAAATAGAGAGACTTAGCTCGCAGTCTATCCTACAAATCAAAACCATCATCTCCATCATTATTGTATGTCATTATGACCACTAGCATTGCCATAACCATAACCATTAACAGTAACAACATTTTATTGGACAGTGAGTTTGATGACGATCCAAATGAACTCCAAATTGGTGACGAGGTGCAGTACACTATCAAAATGAAGAGCTTCAAAGTCAGTGCCGAAGGGATTGTCAAGCTGCCTAAGGGGACCATCCCTCGGGAGGACATTCAACCAGAAATATATGACGGGAAGGTTGTGAGACCTTTGAGGCGAGCTGACCCTCAGGTATGGGTAACAGAAATATCATTAATGAGGAGTTAGCAAAACTTTTCAAAAGTCAGAATGAATAAATTGAAAAACAATTGTGGGGAGGGGGCAGAGAGAGTGAGAGATTGAAGAGTGAAGGCAAAAAGTTGACAAAGAACGTAAAAATGATGGTGTTGATGTAATTTGTTTAGCTTGCATCACCATCATAAGGCATCAAATTTTGTGTTAAAGTTACCTCGGATGTTTAACGTACGTGGTACGGCAGTGGTTGACACAATACTGCATTAATGACAACAGAATAGCAGTATTTTATGCACAATGAATCCAAACACAAAAGTAGTGGTAGCTGAAATAGTTCCTTACTCTTGTACAGTGTGTGCAACCATGCGACTCAAAATCTCTTGAGATGTGAATAACAATGAAACAGCTGCCAAGTTGGTTGATCTAACTAGAAAAGCTAATGAGGAATGCTTTGTTATCATCAACCAGCATGGCGGCTATGACGTAACATGCACCCCGAGAATAGGAGGATACCAATCAAACAGCCACCAAGTTGAGATGAGAAGATGTGGACCGCTTAGCACTTATGAAATACATGAAGATATAGAAATATAGATACGTTATAGTGCTTGGGAACGAGGTTATTCCAGGCAAAAGCCCTTGGAATTAAATTCGGAAAAATTAATTTCCGACCTCGCTGGGAATCCAACCCACGACCTTCAAAATTGTACTACCGATGCTCTACCAGCTCAGGAGCTAGAGGTCAGACTGAGAGCAGGCAGCCATGTTGGTTGATCTAACAAGAGAAGCTAATGAGGAATGCTTTGTTATCATCAGCCAAGATGGCGGCTATGACGTAACACGCACCTGCTCTAGAAATTTGAATGTGATTTCAATTGTAACTAAAGTATTTCCTCACTCTTATTGTAAGTTTTTATCTATCTTCCTCATTAGCAAATGGAATATGCAGGCCTGATAGAACAGTGTTTCCCAGACGAGCAGGAGAATGGTAATGAAGAAAACGAGAAACCTCTTCCCCAGCCTTTCACCATTGAATATGGCATCACTAGTATCATAGACAAGAAGACTGTGCTCCAGTGTGGAGACAAGGTAAGTTAATAATAAAWAATATAATAATACGAAATGTGAATAAATACCATTTCCGAAGAGTGGCTCTTCTTCCACTGGATTCCAGTATTGGAATTTACAGACATAGAAGTTGATTTTTTGTGGAGAGAGGAAAGCCGGAGAAACAGAGAAAAACCCTTGAAACACAGCAGAGAACCAACTAACGGCCCTACTCACATGTGACGCCGAGTCTGGGAATCGATCATGGGTCACTACCACAATATCACCTCATTGTATCTTGAATTTCTAATTTAATGTATAAACTTGTAACCATCTTGATCAAAACTACATGTATTAAAGAAAATGGAGTTGAATCTTAGCTTTATATGGAACTCCCCCCCCCCCCCCCCCCCCTTTCCCCATCGTTTTTTTTTTGTATACTTCTGCACTCACCATCCTCTTATATTTCTTCACCCTCCCAAACTCCCCTGAAGCAAGAAGAAGTTTTAAAAAACATTTTCTCATGGATTTG